GGGTGTCAGGAATTCTTGCTTATAGAGGTCAAGCTCTTTTGGGTCTGTTACTGTTGGTTGGGCAGGTAAGGCATGATCACTTTTATAGGTTGTTGAGACTGAGACCTTTTTGTTATTCTATTTGAATGAATAACAACCATTCTTCCAGTTATAACTGGCACCAACTTTCTTGGACTAGTCATTTCCAAGAAGAAGGAAGTAGAAAGTAGCAGAAACAACTTCAACAGTGATTGGGATAGTCATTCCTTCAATTTCTACAAGAAGATCTTTAATAATTCCTAGAGGGTATGTAGAATTACCAGTTGCTATAACAATAAGGCTAGTAGAGGCTTGTTCAATTTTGAGGCCTAATTCTTTGACAGTTTGATGAGCAATCATGCTAATAGCAGCACCACTATCAATGATAGCTTGGTAGGGTCTGTTTCTAAGTCAGATGTTGCATTTTATAGAAGTAGTATAGGTAGGAGATTGAACTAGATTGGCATTTTTAGCTTCTTCATACAGATATGCAGACATAGCTGTACAAATAGAAGGGTTGTCCAGAAATTGTTCCTATTTCTTTGGTGTTGTAATAGGAGGAGTAGGAGAAGAATCTTCATGGCCAAGGTAGTTAACATCTCTATAATAAGGTGAGGGTAAATGAAAACTAGTTCTTCTTTTATTATTATTATAAGAGTTTAAGTATCTGCTTCTTTCTCTAGAGTCTCCTCTTTCTTTAGAAGAATTTCGATAATAAGATTTATCATGACTTTGAGAATAAGATCTTTGGTTGTGTCTATCATTTCTTCTATAATTATCTTTTTGGTTGGATCATTGTTCAGCTTATCTGGTTCTACATTCAGCAATAAAATATCCTGCACAGCCACAGTAATAGCAGCGACATGAGTCTTTGGCTTGGGGCCTGTTAGGATTAGGTGTAGCTATATAGTTAGTAAATTGAGGTTGGGGTGGTTGCTGTTATTGGGCCAGTTTATACTAAGTTTGGCAATTTGATCTGTTAGTTGTTTAATAGCTTGGTCTGTTTCTGTAATAATATTGGCAGCCATTACATGTTTAGTTTTCCATTATTTTGCAGTGGTAATAGCAGCATTTAGATTAGCAGGTTCACTAGCTTGCACATTGATAGAAAATTCAGAGCATAATCCTTGAATAAATAATTGTTTGGTAAAGTTGACAGGAAAAGCATCAGCAGGGTAAATTCATCTTTTCAATTGTCTAAAACAATTGACATAAGCATCTACAGTGTCTGAGCCTTGTTTAATTTCAAAAAGCTGTTTCTGCCAAATAGCTTTTTGTTTAGGTGTATAGAAATGAAGCCTAAAGAGATGTTTAAAGCTTCTGTCTTGGTGGGCATTGTCATCAAAAGCATTTGGGGCAGGGTTAAGACTTTGCCACCAATCTAGTGCAATTCCTTTCAAATATACAGGAGTTAGTTTTAATTTTCGAGCAGCATCCTACTTGTTAGCAATAGCAGCTCTTTGGAAATCTTTAAGCCACTGTTCTGGGTCTTGGGTTCTATCACCATAAAAGAAGTCAGCTTTCATAAGAGATTTTTTAGTTCTGTCTAGAGCATTAGTAAAATTGGGCATAGCTTGTGCAGCATTTTGTAAAGCTTGGTCTGCCATGTTATTAGGTAGGTTAGGAAGGTTGTTAAGAATAGGTGAAAGTGAAAAAAGAAGTTCAGGTGGAGGTTGAATAACAATAGGCTGAAATTGAACAGCAATAGGTTGAGGTTAAATAGGTTGAGGTGGAGGTGAAGAAGAAGGACTATTTTCGAAAACTTGTTAAGATGAATCAGTAGAAGTGTGATCTGGGCTAGAGGTTCCTGTAAGGTCTACAGAGGCAGTAATATATTCTTCTGTTTCTATATTATCAGTAAGTAGTAGAGGAATTTGTTGAGTCCAATCAGGAGTATAGTGACTTTCAGAAAGTTCAGTGGGTGTAACTAATTCACTATATAGAGCTAAGCTATTTGCTAGGTCACGTAAGAAGGAAATATTATTAGTATAAGTAATATCAGTAGTAGGTGGTAGAATAGGACTTCCTAAATTTCCAAGATGTCGACTAAATTCTCCTGGTTCTTTGAAACTAAAACTTAGAAGAGTGTCAAGATGAAGGTTAAAAGTGTTTTGGTATTCAAAAGGTATAGTAGTAAGTTGAAAGAGGTTGGTGTATCTTCTAACTAAAGTTAAAGCAATTGTATGAGGGTCACCAAGGTCTTGTTGATATCGACAACTAAAAATAATATTTCTAATACAGAGTCGGATTGTAACTCAGTTTGGGTATGGGATAGTAAGAACAGTAAAGTTGTTCTAAGTTTGGGAGGAATAATATTAAGCTTCAAAGTTGGTTTGATACCAAGTTCAAAATTGACCAAAATCTGAGTGAGGGCTGGTACATCGAGGGAAGTAACACTGTAAACAAGATAAATCTGGATGCTGTGCTTGAAGTATGTCTACTGCAAGGTGAGATCCAGTTAAGTGTACTTGTTGATGGCTTTGGATATTTTGTTGTGGAGTTCAGCAGCAATGTAAACTATAAAGAAGTAGTGTTTCTACATCCAGGACTCTGTCAGGATAACTAATACTTGTCCAGGTCTCTTGCCAGGATAGCTAATACTCATCTGGGTTTTTTGCTGGGATAACTTTCCAATATGTCTGGGTCTTTTGCTAGGATAACTTTTTCAATACATTTGGGTATGTTTCATCTAGAGTAACTTGTATTTCTCTAAAAATTTAACCTTTCCACTAGAAGGCACCAAATGTTATAGGTGAAAGCCTTCTTAATTTCACATTATAATGATGACACAGTATAGGGAATCCCTTACGGGTATATGCAGTGTTCAAGAGAGAAGTATAGCTTCTGTTAGACATTGTTAAGAAACTATACCCTTCTCTGAGGCAGTTTGGAAAAGGTAATGCAATACTAATAACTTTACTTTATTTCACTAAGAGGAGATAAACCTTGCCTGTAGGAATTACCCTAGAGGGGGAGTATCAATACAGTTTATAGTCAAAAGCTGTTTATTAAAGTAATAACAAGAAGGGCTATCTTTAGGTTTCTGTTCCTAAAGAATTCCAAGATGTGTTTACAATATTAAAGGAGGAGAGGGGTGTCTGTTGCTTAATCGCACTTGAGGAATTTAGCAGAGTTTATATATCTGTGAGCTAAGCAGCTAAGCAGCCAAGCAACTAAGCAATTAAGTGACTAAGCGACTAAGTGACTAAGTGACTAAGTGATTACTAAGCAACCAGAAGGTTCTAGCAACTAATAACTAATAATTACTAAGTGACTAAGCAGCTAAGTGACTAAGTGACTAAGTGACTAGAGTACCCTTATGTCAAGTGAAAATCAGCCTTTTGAACCACCGATTCAAAGCTCCAGAGTTGATCCATGGCATAGAACACACGATTCTGATTGGCTATAATTTATGTACTGTTTAAATTTTTAAAAATTTAACTAAAAGCATCTCGATAACTATTCAAGCAAATGTAGTAAACTTTTTTTTATTTTAATAGTGAAGAGTTCTAGAATTAAAATAAAAAAAATGTTCATCAAATTTGCTTGGATAGTTATCAAGACATTGTTACTCAGAAAGTTTTGTAAAAATTTAAAATGCCTATATAAAACAAATGTCTTGCACAATAACTTTAAATGAAGATATCTCAATAACCATCTAAGCAAATTCAGTGAGCTTTTTTTTGTTTAATGCTGAATATTTCTAGAAGTAAAATAAAAAGGTTCAACAAATTTACTAGAATAGTTGTCAAGATATCTTTGCTCTAAGTTCTGTAAAAATTTAAAATGCCTATATAATACAATAACAAAAATGAAGATATTTTGACAATTATCTAAACAAATTTAATGAACTTTTTTTATTTTACTGATAAATATTACTAGAATTAAAATAAAAAATTATTGAATTTGCTTGAATAGTTATTAAGATATCTTCGCTCAAAGTTTTGCATAATTACAATAATAAACACTTGTGCAATAACTTTGAAGATATTTTAACAACTATCCAAGCAAATTTGATCAGCTTTTTTTATTTTAGTTCTAGAGATTTTCATCATTAAAAAAATTCATCAAATTTTCTTGGATGGTTGTTGAGATATCTTCATTTAAAGTTATTGCACAAGTGTTTATTATTATGATTATATATAAGTGTTATAAATTTTTATAAAACTTTGAACAAAGATATCTTGATAACTATTCAAACAAACTTGATAAATTTATTTTCCTTTTACTTCTAGAAATCTTCAGCACTAAAATAAAAAAAGATTATCAAATTTGCTTAGGCAGTTGTTGAAATATCTTTGTTCAAAATTATTGTATAAGTGTTTATTATCGTAATTATATACAAGTGTTTTAAATTGTTGCAAAATTTTGAATGAAAATATCTTGATAATTATCCAAGCAAATTAGATGAACTTTTTTTAACTATAAAGATCTTCACTGTTAAAATATAAAAAAAAAATTCATTAAATTTGATTAGATGATTATACAAGTATTCTTATTGTAATTATTTAGGCATTTTAAATTTTTACAGAACTTTGAGTAAAGATATCTTGACAACTATTTAAGCAAATTCTATGAACTTTTCTTATCTTACTTCTAGAAAACTTTAGCATTAAAATAAAAAAAAAATTCATCAAATTTGCTTAAACAGTTGTTAAGATATCTTCATTTAAAGTTATTATACAAGTGTATTTGTAATTATATAGGCATTTTAATTTTTTTTAAAACTTCAAGTGAAGATATCTTAACAACCATCCAAGCAAATTCAATGAACTTTTTTTATTTTAATTCTAGAGATCTTCATCATTAAAATAAAAAAAGGTTATTGCATTTGCTTAAATAGTTATTAAGATATTTTTTAAATTTTTATAAAATTTAATTTTATAAAATTAAATTAATGTACTGTATATAAAGTTCACAAAACTGATGTATGAAAAGAAATACCAAATTTTTATTAACTACATGCATGGTGAAGAAGCTTGCTAAACACATAAGAAAATATTACAAATTTTCTCAAGTTCTTTAATTACATTTTCCTTTTCACTTAATGTAACCTTATTAAGATTAACTTCCTGATGAAGCATCTTTAGACACTCTAACCATTGATCAAGACAATTATTTATCTTACTTTCTTTTTCTTGATTATTAGTAGTATTATCAGCAACTTTACTAACAACACAACTTACACTTTTAGCACCACTATCATTAGCAATGACACCTGCAACAACAACATCAGCAACCTTACCAGCAATGACACCTGCACCAACATCAGCAACTTCAGCAATCTCAGCAACCTCAACCTCAAAAACATTATTAACATATTTATCAAAAAGTAAGTAAGTAGCATAATCTGGTATATTAATTTTGTATTTATGTGAAACTGCAAATATATGCTTACAAGGTGTATGGTTTCTCAAATATGCTTTGCAGTTGCAGATTAAGTTGGAATATTATCATAGGTATTTTCTACTATATAATCGCCTTCATCGTGAGCTGATTTAACAATAAATATAGACTCCCCTAATCAAAAAATTGAATTGTTATCAATGCTAATTGAACTTATTTCAAATTTTCTGTAGCCTTTCTGATATGAACTCATCCATCCAATGCCCAACTCGTATTGAATGGTCTCTTGACAATAATTATGCAATATATTAACTGTTAACTCATGAATGAGGAAATCAATGCATCTATTGAGACGTGTTGTGAGATAAAGATACTTTATTTTTTTATAGTATGCTTCAATATAGTTATTTGTATTAATTCTGCGTAATTTGTCATACCGATAGCAATCAATCCAAAGTTCTATAATGAATTAAAATAAAATTTTTAACAAAAAAATTTTTTAAATAGTAATGCATTGAATATGCTATGAATAAATTTTTTAAAAAAAAATTTATTTTATACTCTTTTTTTTCAATATTGAGCATTAAAATATTGTAGTGCTAATGTATTTTTCCATTTTTGTTCAAATTTACTAACTGCTAGTTCTACATTATTTTCATCTTTAATATTTAATAAGTATTCTAAATCATAAAACAAGTCATCATGTTTTTCTGCTTTTACACACTTGCAAATCCATCACTGCCATGCATATTTAATATGCCACCAACACAAAAAGACATTTGCTGATATAAAAACTTCATGAATTGCATTAATTTTAGCATCATCATTATTCAACATCACATTAACTGGGTCCACCTATTCATCATTCTTTAATCATTTAATCATACTTTGATTGCTTCACTGCTAACTGATTCAGTAATTAATTATGCTAAAGGTATACCTTAACTGCTATTAGGATAGTGAATTAGGATCATAAAGAGTGCATACTAGTAACAATCTGTGTTATAAGTAGAATCAATATGAATAATCTTTTTTTTTTAATTTATTTTATTATTGAAATAAAATTAACAATTTATTAAATTAAATTGATCCAATAATTTGAAATTAAAATAAATAATATCTTATGATACTTTTGATATAGTTTAAACTGCCATTTTGTATAAAATCCTAATAAAAACTTTTGATTTTGGTTGCGTATTTGAAAGCATGAAAGAATAGGATCATTTAAGTTATTTAAATTCATTCAGTTTTCACTCAAAACCTTAACCCATTGTTGCATGCTTATTACATCAAGATTATCATAATGATATTTTAAATGAATCTCCTTGTACATTACATTATAGATATCTTTGTACATAAGTAGCTCATCTCTATTTGGAACAACATTCTTTGAAGTAAAATAACTAAAAAAAAATACATAAATCAAATTTAAACCTGTCAAATTAAGAAATTCAAGAACTTTATTAAATATTCTATATTAGAATAATATATATATATATTTCTCAATTACTTCTTCTCAATAAACATTCATTCTCTTTCCGACGATCATTTGAACCAAACTTTCCAAAAAAGCCGAACTACAGAAAATAATATAGTTAATATATTAAACTTTATGAAAACCTTTCTGGAGTACTGTACACGCATTGTTGGACATTGAAATAGAGTT